GCCTGCAGCTCAACGGGGAAGGTCTAAGATAATTTAGAAAGGCGAAGTACCAGGACTGAATTACCCATGCAAAAGCTATGATATGAGCCATGATAACTGAAATGAAAGAGGGGGTTAATTGTGTTGAATGTGCTAGAAGGAGGCAGAGTTAGGTTTTCCTGGGGAACACTGCCATATGTGACTCTACACGCATTTATCCTTCCTTTGGCTTGCAATGTGGAAAAAGTCAGTAATCATGACGTGCTTCACTTGCAAGGACTACTTGTAGCATTCAGGAATAAAACAAAATGTTATTGAAATTGGAATTATCATCCAGATAAAACTACCCGCCTTTTGGAGTTCGGCTTGCTTCCTGGCTTTTCGAAAGTGACAGGAGCTTGCTTACTGCAGGGAGGAGTTGCCCGAGTGGGAGACAGGAGAAATGTGTTTTGGAACTTGCTTACAGTTCCTGAAACTGCTTCATTCCTCACAGACACTCCATCTCTACAGCTTCACACACCACATTTAGAAACATTAGCCCTGACATGTTTTTTTAATTTTCTTTTTTTTTTGGGGGGGGGGGGCCAAGATTCAATTGCCATCTACAACAATTGTCTGTCACTCATTTTTGACTGTACCAAGGGGACAAGACTGTCTCCTGCTAAAGCCAAACTAGGGCTTAGAATGTTTTGGTGAGGTGGGGATATTTTGCTAAAAAAATAAGTTGTAGCAATTTGAAAGCAAGAAATGAATAATGCACAAAAAATGCCTTACATTACTGGCTTCTTGGTCTGATTTCATCGTTTCCGCAATGTATTTGATTCCCTCTATAGCATTTTTCACGTCTGGATTTTTGGTAAGTGGGGAGTAGAAGTTGGCAGGCACAGAACCTGGCTTCCCAGAAATTTCAGAAATATCAATATCTTCTGCAAAAATATTTTTGTCTTGTTTATCCCTGGACGGTCGTTTCATTGTAGAGAAAACCATGACTTTTGGGATTGTGTCAATAAAGATCTGAAAACAAAGAAGGAGAAGATGACAGTTGCTGGTCGGTGGGGCTGTGTTACAGGTGCAGCTGGGTGCTGAACAAAGGCAAGCCTCTCTGCTCCCAGATTGCTTCCCCTGCTGGAGCAGCCACATGTTCTCTCTCAGACAATGTCACAGCCAGCGCCTTAGTCACACTGGGGCTGTTGTCAGCCTCATGTCCTGAGGCAGATGGATCCACCTGTAGGCCTGTTGCACATTCTCTGGAAACCATTTCCTCATGTCTGATAGCCAACATCTACACAGGATGAGGGTGCCACGTCCCAGACAAGACCCATGGCTGGCATGGGCCGACAGAGCTCTATCAACCTCATCTGATTTGGAACATGTGGCTTATGACTCTGGCTTGAAGAATGGACTACAAAGAATCTCTTTTGGCTACTTATGTTTAACTTTGCTATTACAAATGTTTGTTAAACATGCATGTAAGGTTTACAATAATTCCATTTGGAGTAATGGAGGCTTGCTGCCAGAGCAATTTTAAACACATGCAGTGTTTGCATGTTGAAATCTCTCTTCTGCAGGGTTTGTTTGTGCTGCAGAGTGAATCTGATGTAAGCTGTAGCCTTAGAAGTATAATTAAAAATCCACAGAACATTCTCCTATTCACGTCATGGTTTAACATGAACCCAGGCAGGCTTAAAAAAGGCAAGAATGCCAATTCCCTGGCAAAGAACTGCCAATGACAGACATCCAATTTTTTCTACATTTTGTGGTTACCGTTTAGACTACTGTACTACTTGATTCCCAAGGACTGCAGAGCAACTGTATTTGCTGGAAAAGCACAGAGGAGATCATGGCTTTTGCTAAACTGTCTTTTGCAAAACAGGATGGTGAATACAGGTATCCCCGGTGGCCTTTGTGCTCTGCACTCACATGGGCTGGCAAATTTGGCCACTGGCAGGCAGCAGTACTTTGCAGTTAGACAGAGAATTAGACCAGTGAATGTAATTGGAGTCCAGCTGGCCCATTTTCTTTTGCCTATACCTTTGGCTGCCAGTGCTTTGCCTTATCTGTTCCCTGCAAGACTCTACCCCAGTGGGCAATTCTGTTACTTAAAGGAGCACCTTGGCAGTCTTGCTGACTTTATGCACAGCTAAGTAGTAAACACTGGTTCTTGTGCCTAGAGAGATTTAAGGTGATGCATTTACTTCCCCAATTCTTGTTGACTTTTATTAGAAAACCTGCCAATAAAATATGTAGTGTTCGGTGGAAACCAGGAAACACACAAAGCTGTAGAGCTCACCTTCCTGACCCAGGGCGGCATGGTGTGAGTGCTTGGGGAGCGGTGGTGGGTGTTGATGACGATGACTGTGATGATGATTGAAGCGATGACAAACACCATTGTAAACAACATGTATTTGCCTATCAGAGGCACTGCACTGGAGGTGGAGGGAATCAGCTCCACAATGACCAGAAGGAACACAGTCAAAGACAGCAGGACAGAGATGCTGAGAGTCATTTTCTCACCTGCCATGCAAAAAAAAAAAAAAAAAAAAAAAAAAAGCTAATACCTGTTCCTATCATTCAGTACAGAGGGTATTTATTTGAGAAGATAGGATGTGGATGATGGCTATTCATCATGTGTGCATCTGGAGTGCTATCACCTCTCCCAGCACCCAAAGCAGTAACTAGGCTGGCCAGAGCTGAGAGCCCAACATAGCACCAGCTCCAGCATAAGGTGGGCATCACCAGGTGTGACTGGGCTGAGGTATGGGTGACAGATATGGAAAGCTGACTTGCCAGGACCACTTCATGGGCTGTGCATTTTGAATTATGAAGTATATGCACCTGATTAATGCTTGCTCCACAGCCTCCTGGGGGTTCCCTTGCCTTACTCTCGGGCAGGCTCATGCTGGGCTGAGTGGGCAGACAAAAATCACATCTGACACCAGAGATCAGTTGCTATATTTGAGATCTTCCAGTGTGCAGGATGTCAAAACTGAACAACAAAACGTGATTTGCACATCTTTTTTCGATCCAGTTCAACTTTCTATAAAGTTTTCCACTGAAAAAAAAATACATCAAGTATTTCATAAAAGGGGCTTAACAAAATTAAGCAGTATGAAAAGCTGACACAAAGTAAAATGAATGATGCAGAGGAGAGGGCTTCAGGGAGCAAGAGCTGCTCAGCAGGGACAAGGAGGGGGCCAGAAGAGGCCAGGATTACTCTGTGTGTCACACGAGGTAATGTACATGAACAGATAACAAGCTCTCTGCTCTAACACAGTGCAGAAGGGCCTCAGTCACCCCTGGGTGCTCACTTACTGCGTGACATTCTAACACAGTAACCACCTACCTATGGCATAATGTAAAAATCAACTAGCTAAATCTTTGTTTTGCAGAAGTTAACTGGACAGTTAATCAGTGATTTCTGAGGGAAATTAGCCCAAATTATTTGTATCAATAGTTTCAGCTTTCAGGGCTTACCCTTTATTTGCAGAACGTTTAGAGACATTATTTTGAGCTGAAATGTCTAATTTTTGTAAGCACTGCCCTTCAGGTTGGCTGGTGATTTCAAATACTGAGAATTTCCCAGAAACTTGTTAGAAGAAAAATTTCTATGCCAGTAGAATGAATAAATTTACATACCTGAATCTGTGGGTAGGTAAAAAACAAACCCAGTTAAAAAGGAGAAGAGCAGGCAGGGGATGATGACATTCACAATGAAGTAGAGAGGCAGGCGCTGCATGAGGAAGTGGTAGGTGATATCCAGGTACGGGGTGTCAGGGCAGCAGGCGTAGTAAACCCAGTGCTTCCAGCCACGGTAGTCCTTCATCACCCACTCCCCACTCTCCATGAAGTTACTCAGATCTGGACGATCACTCTCCTGACAGCAAAAAAATACAAGTTCTTAATTTTAAGTGTTCTGAACAAAATAAAAACTTGGCAGTTCCCCAGGAACAAGGTTTCAAATAACTCCATCACGTCACGCATTTTCATGAGGAAACCACTCTTGTCTATGTTATTTTGCCTTAGAATGTTGTCCTTTATACAGCATTCAACTACATATTTTACAGAAACAGTCAGGGATAGCTGACTAAAAAGAAAAACTGACTAAATGCTTACAGATGTCTCCACATACCTGAGGAGACAGGAAAGAGTC